TTAACTCCCTTTTCATGCATCCTCGGCTGTTTGTTTCTTAATTGTACAGATATCAACCACTTTTATTCGCTCACAAGGGCTTCAAATAAGAGGGGGGAGCTGGTGGAAAAGGCCTCCACGAGGAACAAAGGCGGCCATTTTAGTTTTATTCAAAACGAAGCACCAAGGGCTCGGTGATTTAGATTTTCTTACTTTTCTATCAAACGTGACAGCAGCCTGGTCCAACTTAATTTCCCGACCTTTTGTCGTGTCTTGGCAGACGGATAAAACTAATGAAAAAACAAAACGGAGGCGAACACTTCATAAACTTTTCTTGCATTTCGTCACGTCACCATTTCAAACGTCAGGTAGTGCACTCAGGTCAGCAGAGTGATTCGGACAGGAGCTAAAGCCTGATGCATTAACGGGTCTGTTGGGACTTCCACCTGATTCATTAAAAAATGCATAAAGAACACAATATTGAGACAGAGGTCGGGACGGCAACGATGACAAAGTGATGAGCCGCCATCGCTTCTGTTGTGGAAGATAATCATCTTTCATACTGAGACCAAGATTCTCGTTGAACAGTACCGCCTGTTCGACCGCAGATAAAATGTAACCCATCCTGAAGGACCCTCATGAGCGTTGCCGTCTGTTATTTCTCGTTTATGCGACGCTGCTTGGGATCTGTGTAACATCTGTACGAGCTGAAACTTTAAAATATAATCAATTAAAATAATTTTAAAAAACAAAACAAAAAAAAAACCCACGACAAGACTTAAAAAGGACGTTCGCCTACTCTCTCCCTCCAATCTGACTCAGACTGAACGATTTAACCCTTGTGCGTGCGAGGACTGAGGCAAACGTAGAGGACTATGGCAAATGATACAAGTTTTACATGAGTAGAGTCGGTTGGTTAAGACTGGGGCTTATTATGAATTCATGCCGCACTTTTCAGATTTAAATTTGCAAAACGGGAAAAAAAAAAAAAAGGAAAGCGCGTCTCATTTCTTTTCACTTTGAAGTGAAGCTGGCGCCCTTCGTTTTTATGTCGTTTTAAAGTTGCCCGTCGTTTGGCCCACAAAAAGCTGTTGAAAACTTTGGTGCTTTTAATTTTTCCATGCGTTCAAGACCATTTCTGCGCTGTGCGCTTGTGTTCGTCGGTGGTAAAATCCTAATTTGAGGTTGCAACGTGACAAAATCGGGGGGGAGTTGGAAAAGCAGGAATATGTTTGCAGATTCCTGTCGTGGCGTTGTGGGCGGGATTTGCTCGTTGCCAGTTGTTCACCGTACGTCCAATTTACCTGTTGGCCTGTTGTACGCCATCGATTCCCCTGGTAAACACCTCCTTTGCTTTCTCTGTCTTATCCTGTCATATTTTTGCCCCAGTGTCCTCCTCTCTGACTGTAAGATATTCTCTCTGTGTTAAATTCATCCCGACTGTTTTTTTGTGTGTTTTTTTCCATTTTAGCCTGCTTGCCTAGCTGTCTATCCCTTCCTCTCTTCCTCCCTGCGCTTCTCACTCTCTGGCTCTGCTTATTTTTCTGTGCGAGGCTGTCACTGATTTCACAGCTCTTGCTGTCTGTGCATCTCTCTCCCTGTCTATTTGCACATCTCTCTCTCTCTCTCTAGTTCCCTCTGCCTCTTATTCCCTTGTTATAGTGCACTCTCTCCTGTCACTGCCTTGCAGGACCTCATTTAAACACGCTCCCCTCACTGCTGCCATCTCTTCATCCCCACGTCTCTTTCTCCCTCATCATTCCAGGGTCCTTACCTTCCATTTCTTTCCTCTTGCATCTTACCCCCCCCCCCCACCCCCCACCCTCCTCTGCCGGCTCCCTCTCCTCAACTTGCTTCTCTTCAAAGAGGCTTTCAGAGGGTCTGGAGTCCCTGCTCTACATTTCACCCTCCAGGTCTGGATTGTTTGTAACATGACACCCTGTTGAATTCACACCCGCGCCCCTCATCTGCATGCATCAGTCTGCATCTCAACAGGCTTACAAGCAACAAATCAGAGGAAAGATCGTGTAAAATGTCGACTGTCGATATTTTTAAATTCGCCTCTAAAAGCAGCAGTGTTCGGCGCTCAACTGATTTCTTTTATTTCTTGCTTTAAATGTTTCAGAGGCAAACTAATTTTAATATCAAAGCTACGCGAGAGGATTAGGGTCACCGAAAAACGAAAGGACTCCGACTTGAATCTCGGAATCCTGATTTCTGAGACCGAAGTCATAATTTTGGGAAAGTGTGAGATTAAAGTTAGAAATTTGACTAATTTCACAAGTTAGTGGAACAAAAGTCAGAATTCGGGGGATAAAAAGTCAAAATTATCAGATTAAATTCCAAATTCTGGCATTGAAGTAAGAATTTGGAGGAAAAAACGTCAGAATTAAATTATTTTTTTTCAGTGACTATAGTCATTTTCTGTACAAAGCAAACCTATGATTAAAAAAAAGAAAAGAACGAAAAATAATAAAAAAAGAAGTTTTCAAGTTCATTTAGGGCAAAAATGATTTTCAAACCACTCTGATTACTCTAAAAAAATAAATAAATAAAAATTAAACCCTAAACCCAATGGCTCATTGTGCTGGCTGTGCCTGTAAAGGTTTGTGAAAACTAAAAAGTACGATCTAAAAGAAGATGGCTGTATTGAAACATGACCATGGAGTGGCAGGTTCAAAGGTCTGGAGATGCACAGGAATTATTGGACGATATTCTTGGTTGATAAACTTTCCAGATTTTATTTTTGGGCAAAACGGCTCAAAAATAAAATCTCTTAGTGGTTATGTTCATACCCAAATCCAATTCTAGCCCCAATTCCCCCCCCCCCCCCCTTTTCCTTTTTTTAAAATGAAAAAAGATGGATATGTTAAAAAAACAAACAAACAAACTTTCCTTTCAATCATCCCTTCTGGCAGTCGACCTGAACTCAGAGCTCAGCCAAGCTGTAAAACAAGACGGTCGGCCCTGGACAGACTGGCATCACTCTGATTTATGGAAGCCCAAAGAATGCATTAGTGAAGAAGAAGAAAAGGAAAGTCAGATTTTTAAAATATTAAATCGTCATGAACAGCAGATTGACTTATTAGCCAGCCATACTTCATTCTTTTGTTGTTGTCAGGGTGAAAACATTTAGCATCGCTCTGCTTAGACATAATGTCAAATCCTCCCAAGGCAGAGTTGAGATTTCACAGAGTGGAAAAGTTAAATAAACCTCTAAAGGATCCCTGAGCTGTCTAAACAGTTTACTCAGTTTACTATTGAGTTCTGTGAACTTTCCTTCACATGTACAGAGCTTTTGGTGTAATATCCATACATTTTGTACTGAGTACAAAAACACGAACCTCCATAAATGATATTTGTGATTCTATGAGGCAGACCAACCCAAAGAAGGACGTGAAACTGAAGCGCGAGATAATCCGTGCTCTTTGAATTTTCCGTGGGGAGCAGAGAGGAGCTCAGTTTTTTCACAGAATATCTGACTCATATTATATTGTCAAGAAATAGGGATAGTTTTAACAAATATGTAAAAAAACAACAAAAAAAAAACAAGAAAAAAACATTTTTGTAAAAGTTACCTACTGCAGTTGGAAGATAAATATATTTTACAAAGAAGAATGAATGACTTAAACTTCATAGTTTAGATGTGAACATCATGTAAAAAAACAAAAAAAACTTGTAGATTTAATTACAGCAAAACGTTCTTCCATAAAGTCTCGACTAAGGGGGTCAAATACAAAATGCGCCCCACCCCCTTTTTAATTTGGAAGAACACAAATGAGAACATTTTTTTTTCCTCCTGCCTCAAAAAATCACAAGTTACTTTTGTGTTGCTGAACGACATCAAACCTGAAAATTTTTTTGCAAGGGGAACCGAGACCGACGCAATGTTGGGTCCAGGGCCCGTTCAGCGCGGCAACACGCCTGCCTCAATAATAGAGCACTTAGCACCTGCTGAGCGCCGATGTCATGTTCGCGGATCTGACGCCCCGCGGATCAGACACACTTCTGACATCATTAAAAATGAATTGTGTGTGTTTTCGCCGAAGCTCCGGGGAGGCTTCTGAAGAGCTCATTTAACATGAAAGTGTCACGTCTCAGACCGGCTTCCCACAACAGCCTCTCCTCCGCCGGGAGCGCGCGCGCGTCCGATCGGGAACCGGTCGCGAGAGCGAGGGCGCATCATTTTCACGGGAGCGTGATTATCGGACGCGGCTCTGAAACCCAAAGTGATCCGGCGTTACGCCACGGGGATCTATTAGGCAGCTGCGCTCCGAATGGGAATGCAAAAAAGCCTCAGCAATCCACGCAAACAGTCAAAACACACCACAGCGGTGGTCAAAACACTTTTTCAGTAATTTGCACTCCGCTTCAAAATTTAAAAAAAAAAAAGCGGAGGGAGGCATTTGCATTTAGATGCGCGGCGCTTTAATTGATTTCCGTACAGATGTTTCTTTGTGTTTGCTGTAAACAGATGGAAATATTGATTAAGGAAAGAAAAGGGAGTCTGGTTCATTGCGAGTGAATCAAGCAAGAAATTGAGCTTGTCGTTGTCAGAAAGCCATCAAAAGGCTCCCTATCCGACGGGAGAGGGATGCAGAGAAAAGGTAGGATGAATACAGATTAGCTGGTTTCAAAAACAGGAAGGAAAAAAAAAAGAAAAGAAAGAAAGAAAGCTGAGTGAAGAGGCTGCTAATTGATGAACTGTGTAAAACCTTACAGGCTTACAGTGGTTTCTGTTTATTTCCAGGTAATTCTACTTTAATGGGCTTAGACAACATGTTGTTAGCTATGCTTTGACTCTAAACAGCTTTCCTCTAAAGACCTTCCCACGTTACCTGTGTCATCCCCTCATCATCTGTTCCCCATCTGCCTATGCTCTTAGCTGGGGGCTGGTTTTCTTTTTTTCTCTCTCTCTCTCTCTCTCTCTCTCTTTCCCAAAAACACAATCAACATTTTCCTTCTCGGTTTTTTTTTTTTTTTGGTAACTGCACTTGCATCCTCTGTCCTCCTCCTCTCACCTTGTTGAGGGTGATGACCGCCTCCTGGCTCACGGCCGTGATGTTGAAGGTCTCCCCCGTCTCCCCCTCCAGGATGGTGTACTCCAGCTTGGCGTTCTCGCCGAGGTCGGCGTCGGTCGCGGAGATGCGCCCGATCTCGGCACCGGGGATGGCGAGCTCGGAAACGGAGAAGGACCACGTACCTGGGAGCAGACGCACGGAGACACGCGTTAGGGTTGATAGTGCCACCCGTTAAATAAATATGGAATTGTCCCATATATGATAGGGAAAGGTTGCCCATATTGTTGAGCAATCTCGAATACAGCGTCATCTTGTCTGTTTTTTTTTTGTCTTGAGGTCTTAAGCATTGATGACTGGGTAAAATGTTTTTGTAATTGAAGCCTTGAAGCCTTCCCTGACCATTTTAACTACATTACTTTTCTTTTTAATAACAAAGGGTTTCATATGCGACTAGGATTTAGATGCAACATCCAGTATATACACAAATTTGTATGAAAATATAGCAACAGTCACTAAAAAAATTAGCCATTTCCCAGTTTGAGACATATAAAAGTAACAAAATGTATCCTTCAATGTTCAATTGAAAAAAAATTGTGAAGAAGAAAAAGGTAAAAAATAAAAACATCCTTTTGATCTTCTGATTAAATAAAATATTTTCTTGGTACAAAGGTCACATCAGTTATAGTTCATCTAATTAACCTGAATTAACTGAAACTGTCCTATTGGGAGGTTTTTTTTTTCATCATTTGCTTACTAGCATCCTAAAGCTTGAAGAGAGGTTGCAAAAATATCAAAGTGATCTTACTGAACAAAGGTATCAGTCAGGAGCTAGATACAAAACAAAAGGTAAGCACTGTGGGTGTTTTCAGATTTAGGGTCTGCGAAACCGACTGAGACTGTGAAATTAGATGGTGTAGGCTTCAGATGTATTCCTGCCCTCACCTATGTGCTGTTGCCTAGCAACTGTGACGGTGAAAACATCCAACATTGAATAAAAAAAAAATAAATAAAAAAATCCAAACTTGTGGGGAGGAAGTGAAATTGATCAAACCAAACATACACAATGCTGCACATTACCAAAACCGCATTATACCTACAGTGAAACACGGTGGTGGCAGCACCATGATCTGGGGTTGTGTAGATGGAAACAATGCAACACTTGAGGCAAAACCCATTTTGACGGTGCTTAATTATTATTATTATTATTCAGCTTTCATTATTATCATCAGCCAATCCCACATTACGTAGGCACGCCGTAACATCCATCACCGCTGCGTTCAGCACTAATTAGTTTGCTCATTACACTTTTTTCTTTCCATTCAAATGCTTCCCTATTACTAATCCAGCACTTTGCACGTTAAGCATGAACTGCTTAACCACCAATCCCGTGTCGCTTGGCGCCTGGTGGCAGTCTCCCCAAAGGGCCCGGCCCTTGTAGCCTCCTGTCATTTCCACAACGGTGTCCAAGTCGCGGCACGTCATTAGCGCTTGACACAATTCATTTGTCAGCTAAATGCGTTGCTACGTCCTCGGATCGACTCCCCACACCTGTGCCGAGCTAATATTTACAACATGTCGTTCAGATAAGGCCAGCTGTTCATTTAAATCAGCGCAGCGGATGAAGGCAGGCTTGAGCGCTAGCCGCCAGGATATTATTAACAGACAAAAAACTTGCTGCAAAAATAACTAAATTAAAGGAGGCTGGGGTTTGGAAGACAAGGAAGGGGTGACGGAGTGAAAGAACAGACTGCAGAGACGGGAGATTCTCCGTCTACCTCCCATTTAAGCTTGATGAACTGAGCCACCTACTCATTACAATCATCTGCTTCTTAGTCCCAGAGTTGTCCATTTCTTCCTCCTGCTTAACAAGCATTCATTAAGATAACAGGGGTCTTTCCTGTTCACTGCCATTATATTAAAACATGCATTTTTTTTTTCTTTTCCAGCGGTGTGCACATTAAAGCAGAACTTCATGAATCCATCTGCTGGCTTTGCAGTTTACGTCTGATTTGTGATAAAAATACAAGGTACGAGGGAACTTTTTAGGCTTAAAAACGACACACTCCCACGCGACTGAATTCACATATTATCCAGACATCTCATTTCATCTTAACACACACAGAGAGAGAGAGAGAGCTGCCACAGGCAAGAACACGGTGTGTGGGAAACGTAGAAATCGAGGAAACGGTTTCGGCGCACACACATCGAACATCGGCTGTTATCTCCCTCGGCTAACGCTAAAGGAACCAGATCAGACTTGTAAACACCACAGAGAACAACGTCTCAACAAACACGTGGGGGCTGACAGGATGAAAGACGGATAGCGCTTCGACGAGGCCGTATCAGCGCCAGCAGGCAGTCAGGTGAATTCTGCAAACGTGACAACATCGTGGCAGAACAAGGAGGGACGCAGAGTCGGTTTGCTGACCGGAGTTTCGGTTCAGATGTCGAAGCGTCTATTGGCAGCGAGAGTCCTTCCCCTTAGGACGCTCGCTGAGGTCCAATCTGTGGAGGCTGGCTTATGAGTAGTTATTATTATCAAAAGCCTGTTTCTCATTCTGTTACAGAGTATGACATTGCAGGCGTTAAAAAAAAAAAAACATTTTTGTTTCTTTCAAACTATTTTTTTTCTGGTGTCACAAATGCATCTCAATGATAGATTTTGTGGACAATTTTCCATGCATGAATATTTAGATGAAATATCAAAGTCTTTCCCGATTTATCTACTGCTGAGACAATTATTTTTCCTATATGCATGTTTATGAAGTGTGATAGGCTGCTTTACATCTTTGGAGCGAACATTTCTGTGCTGCTACATTTCATGAATTCCCAGGAAACGATGGAGGATTTTTCAATCTTTTCCACCGTCTGTGGTCGGGTCAGAAAACACAACACTCCTCCGATGTGTTCTGGGTCTGCCGCCGGGTCTTCTCTCAGTTGAACTTACTAATAAGTTCAACTGGGAACTTGTTAGTAAGTTCCCACTTACGGTGGGAAAGCTAGCTGCCATAAAAGCTAGCTGCAATAAAAATTAAACAAAATTACAAAAAATAATTGTTTGATTTCTAAAGTTTTTGGGCGGTGTTTTTTTTTTTTTCTGCCGTATCGAAATAGATGTATTAACTGCAATGGAAACACTTTTAGTCATGTGATCAACAATCCAATGTTACCATTGGTGACAACAACAAAGACGACGACAGGAAGTAGTCGGAGGATGATGTCTTTTTTTTTTTTTTTTTTGAATTTATGGATATTGCACCAGAAGCCTCACAGCATCGCACAGTTCACAAAGAAGTTGGGCGTCATTCTCTTCTCTTCTGTAAAATCGCCGACGACAATTTACCCAAAATGGCGAAACAAAGTTGCTCCAAAGCAAAAGGGGTTTGCCGCTCGAACGCCTGAATAAGACACCAAATTCACTCGTTATCCAGACATCTCAGATGGCCGACAGCTGATTTAATTTGTCATTTAGCCGACAGCTAAATGACAAATGTATATCGCGCAAGCGTTTACGTCTGTCGCTGCCATGATTTTTAATGACTTATCGTGTGAACAAACTTATTCATATTCGATTTTAATCGAATTTCTTGTTGAATGGAAACACAGGAATTGCGAAATGAAGTTGTTTTTTCGACATCAGCAGAATATCGACAAAGATTCGCGTACATTCGTAATGGAAACGCAGCTAGTGTTTCAGTTCAATTTGTCAGGCCTTGTCTGAAGCTGAGACCAGCCGCCCTACAGACGGAGCAGATTTCAGCTGTTTCTGTCATGATCTTGTTCTTTCAGCCATGATCCATTCCACACGCACCACAGGCGAGCGTAAGATTATAGACGAAGCTTCTTGGTTCGGCTGCTTCTTTACCACAACAGACCGAAACAATGCGTGCACCATGAATTACGCATTTTGGTAGAGGAGGCATTGATCTATCAATCGCCATCATTTTACGACTTAGACTTCGAGGAACTGCTTCACGAGAGCCAAGACTTGAACAAAGTCACTTCATCTGCAAAAAGCAGCGTTGTGACCATTTCCTTTAGTTTCCTTCATGTTAATGTTGTATCCAACTTAAGTTCAATCAATCAAATTCAAACTAAAAAGCATGAATTTGTGGGGTTAAACTGAAAATCCACTCCTGTCTCAGCAGATTTCGCCGACAAAGCAATTCAAAGCGTCTCGCGTTTAATGAAATATTTGAGTTCTCACTCTCCGATGTCCGCTCTGGAGTTTCTGAGGATAGAGAGTCATTCTACACGGGCTCATAAATTGGGCTACACAATAAAGTCTATGTCTAATGTTTGGGTTCGAAGATGTTATGATCTTCACCACCTCAGGTTTTTATTTTTTTTCAAAAGCGGCCGTGACAAGACGAGGATAACGTGCGCGCTCACGCAAGAGCTCGACATCCACGACCTGAAAGCATTTGCCGCCTAATTAGTATCTCTCTAAATATCGTCGTAGATTAATGAATGACCACGATGCTCGTTATCGGAAAGGGGATAAACTTGTTTTGTCTTTTGAATATAATGCAGAGTTGGCTTTATTTTTCAGGGCTTTGAAAAGAAAAAAACCCCGAGAGGGATTTGTTTCTTATTGCTAATATGTCTTAAGTGATTCTGCTCGCTAGAACCAAATCATTTCCTCCACACACATTTTGAGCAGCAACTGTGACAGCAGCAATAAACTCATTGTTGGCCTTTAAGCTCCCAGGGACCGTGAGTCGGCCCTATAACTGCCTTTCAGCCAGCTCTTTAGGCATCTTATTTCTTTCCCTGATTTTTTTTTTTTCTTTCAGACTTTCGGCAGTTTTCTCAACGTGCTCCAGTAGATGCAGTCAAGGACTCCTTCCCACTCTTTAAGCTCCTATGTTAAACGTGTCAGTGGCCTTCAATACGCTTGCATCAAACAACTACTTTAAAGAAAAAGGGAAAAATAAAGATGACTGATTTAAGTGAATGTGGAGATAAATGATTTTCTTTTCAAAAACTCAGAAAAAAATCCCCAGAAAGTAATTGACTATATTTATATACAGCTCTGGAAAAAATGGGGAAAAAAAAAGATCAGTTTTTTTTCTGATTTTACTTTGCAAAGGTTTATGTTTGAGTAAAATGGACGTCGTTCTTTTATTCTATGAAGTACCGACAACATGTGTCTGAAAGTCAAAGCAACAATCTAGTATTTATTTGCAGACAATGAGCAATAATGAAAAAGATACAGCACTTAAAAAAATGCATTCATATTCATTTAAAAACAACAACACTAATGTATTAACTCAGGAAGAGTTCAGAAATCAATATTTGGTGGAATAACCATGAGGTTTTCAATGGGATTCTTAATTTTTTTCATTTAACATATATGTCAACTTAAACAACAAACTTGTGTTCAGTCTCTAAGTAAATTGAATTATTCTTGGCCCAAATCGTAACTAAAATGAATAAAAATGCACCTAATGTACATAGAGAAATCAGCCACTTGATAATAGGCAATTTTATTTGACTTTCACTGTACAACATTGTGGTTGCTCTTTAGGTACAAACCGCTAAGTGAAGATAAAGGAAACCTCATAATTTAAGCTTCACTCACCATAACAGGAAGTTAACATTTGCTGGAGGCGTGAATCAGATGTTCACGTTGTAAACAGTCCAATAAAAATCTTTCATAGCTGCCCCACAGCTGCTTGCTCAGGATTGTTATAGCAAAACAACAAATGGTCGGATTTGGACACGATTTGGTGGAGATGAAGAAGAGGAACTGGTTTTGTGATGTGAACAAGTATTTGCCTCCTTACAGACTTATTCTGTTTAAATCCATCCACCCATCCATCCACCCATCCGTCTGTCCGTCCGTCCATCTATCCATCCGGCCAGCAGAACAACAACCATACACGCACAAGGATTTCCACCACCATATAGTAAATACAAATATTTTGGAGACACGTAATACAAGTCTGAGATTAAATCTGAACAGATGTGAAGTTCTGAATGTCAAGCGGCTGATCATGGTGGAAAAACCCTTTGTTGTTGTTAAAGGGAAAGTCCATGAAGAAACAAACTACCATCTGTCACACTTAATAAATTAAATCATTTTGTCTAACATCAAAATCTCCGATGAAAAAAAAGGCTAAAAATAAATGTTAGTATCAGTTGTGTTTATGAATATCCACCTCTTCACTCCCCACAATTCACAGAAACAAAGCATGTGTGGGAACGCTCGCACACCAAGTGACTGCAATGCTGCGAAATACGGCCCACCTTCATGACGCCAACCCAAAATGGTGGTGCCTGCTAATCTCTATAAAGTGACAGAAACGCTGCATGACGAATCCTCTCCTGTGTTTGGAGACTTCCAGTCAGTGTTTGCCTGACCGTTACAGGGCTTCCTAAAATATTCAAACCTCTAGAAATTATTTATAGTTTGTATTCCACTGAGATTTCATGAGCTTCACCAACAGAAAGCAGTTCATACTCATAATGGGAAAAGA